AATGTATCATCTTCCATCATGCAGGATGCCAGAGAATATGATCCTGAGCTCATAAGACTTCTCAAAACTACATCCAGTGAAGGCTCACTATGGGCTGAATTGTGACCCCTAAAAATTCATGTTGACACCCTAAATCCCAGTACATCAGAATATGACTTACTGGAGATTTTTCAGATGTAATCAAGGTAAGATGAGGTTGTTAGCATGAACCCTAATCCAATCACATTTTGTGTGTGTGTGTGCATGCATGCTATGCTGCCTGAAATACAGGACACCCAGGTTTGATCCATGGATCAGGAAGATCCCCGGATCAGGAAGATCTCCTGGAGAAGCGAATGGCTACCTACTCCAGTATTCTTACCTGGAGAATTCCATGGACAGAGAACCCTTGCGGCTACAGTCTTTGTGGTCACAAAAGAGTCAGACATGACTGAGCAACTAACACTTTCAAGCTGCATGCTAAGTCGCTTCAGTCCTGTTTGACTCTTTGCGATCCTATAGACCATAGCCCGCAAAGCTGCTCTGTCCATGGGATTCTCCAGGCAAGAATATCAGAGTGGGTTGCCATGCCCTCCTCCAGGGGATCTTCCTAACCCAGGGATCAACCTGTATCTCTTAGAGTGCCAGCATTACAATCAGATTCTTTACCACCAGTGCCGCCTGGGAAGTATAAAGAGGGAAAATTTGCGCACAGAGACATACATGAAGGGAAGACAATATGGAGAGACATAGAGAGAAAATGGCCATCAGTAAGCAAAGGACAGGAGTGTGGAACAGATCCTTCCCTCAAAGCCCTCAGAAGAAACCAACCCTGTCATCACCTTGATTTTGGACTTCCAGCCTACAGAAAGGTTAGGATTTTTATCTAAGACACACAGTTTTGTGGTACTTCATTAGAGCAGCACTAGAAAACAAGTGTAGTGCCTTTTTTCCTTAGGTTTCATAAATAGACAGTATCTCCTTGCCTTCAACTGACTCAGCTTGACTTACCCTCTCCAATGAGTCATGACTTAACCTTTTCCAATGGACCAAATAAAGCTCTACTGTCCACATGCACTTACATATCCTTCTTCATGAGCAATTTCTTGGCATGGGTATTAGTAAAGGTCTCAGTCAAAACAGACATGGAGACATAGTTTTACACTTGAAATAATAGAATTGTCCCTTAGAACAAAGAGAGCAGAAAGCCAGCAGGTTGTGCATGATTATCTGCATTTCATGCAATCTTTTATGCTCTACATTCTTTATTGTAATTATTTTGAATCTTTTTATTTTTATTCATTTACACTTATTTTACATGTTTTATATATTGTACTGAGCCAGGTAAAATTATGGAATTATGCAAATACCTTGTAGTATACATCTGTATTTTCCAATATGAGATTTTTATTCCAACAAATTCAGCATGTATATTAGCAGCTCAGTGTGTATCAGAAAATACTGTTGGAGATTGGAATACAGCAGCTGACAAAATGGATGAAGACCTGCTTCCAAAAAATAAATATGAAAAGAGTTATGCATTGTGTCAGAAACTGAATTGAAAAGAGAAACATGCATTCACTCCGTTTCACTCTGGAGTGTTTAATACTTGTAGAAAACTTATGGATATTATGAATTCATAGAGTAAAATGCAAATCCACATGGCAACTGTGACCCGCGTGCTGGGATTGCAGACTACCAGGCTGTATTGGGAATTAAGGCCTGGCAGATGATGGATGGCGACAGTACTGTTTCACTTAATGAAGCAGCTATTGAAGCTTAAAAGGGGAAAGATGACAAGGGGGAACTGAGTGCTTTACTCTTTGGAAAAAGTAAAAGGTTTGCAACATTATACCAAGAAGAACTGAACTCACTACTTTTTGAACTTCATTAATCTTTTCCATAAAAATCTGTCTCACTGTCAAGCAGCTCAATAGCTACTTTGGGAAAATGCTTTGCTTCTTTGTAATGGAACCAGTGCCTTAATTGTCCTGAGGCCCCAAGGATGTTCCACCTCACAGAAATACTAAAGAGGTGTGCAATGCTCTGGAGAAGCCAGTGTGAAAATGCCAAAATGGTACAGTCGGGACAGGCAAAACTTGTGACCCATGGGGCAGTTTTTCTGTATTAATTTGTTTCTGAGAACAATAATACATGGAAGAGGGAGATAGTGTTACCAAGAATTCTCATGCAGAGATGTTTATTCTTGAGTTAAGGAAAGAGAAGCTTTTGAAATTGTTCTAGTGAATCTTTTTTGTAGTGTGAGCTTAAGGTTTAATAGCACACGCTTTAAGTGTAGTCAAAAGGCTAAACTAAATGTCACAACAAAAAATATATCATGAAAACTCATACTCCTAAAAGCGGTCCAATAATTTTTCAGCCACAATCCCCAAAGCTTTGCACCATCCCAATTAATATCTATTTTTATACGAAAGAAGCAGGGAAACAAGGCCTGTGAATTACCCAGGCCTCCTTCCTATGGAAAGCATTCAAAATCCAGCACTATTTCCTTCTTTTAATATTAAGATATGGACATTGATTAATAGAAGAACATTTTTCAAATAAGAATGTATAAGCAGTAAAAAAAATTTTGAATGAATACTTCGTTATTAACCGTTGTTTTTCTTTTGAAAACCATGAGGCAGTTTTCAGTTGTGATATGTGGCCAATTAAATCATCCTGGTATTCTAGCATAGCTCACTTGTATCATACTTTGCCTTCACAGTGCCTGATGTTTTAAGACAACTCTATTCCCTTTTAAATCATAGGTACTTATTTTCAGCCTCTTTTTCCCCCATTGGCTCCTGCATCTGTGAGGTGGGTGGAACTGGCTCTGTATCAGTTCCAACCCTTTAATGATAGGGATCGGGTACTAAAAAAACATGGTCTCGAATGCCAAAGGCAGTGTGGAGGAGGCAGAAAATGAGGACAAAGTCTGCTGCTGGCCTAATAATTCGACTTAAAAAATGTAGCATGGTGTTCCTGGGGGTTATTATTCTTCTAGCATTCAAAAGAGAATTTAGAAATTCTGACTTACCAGTTACCTTTTATCATTTTGATTTAAGCTCATATAAAGAATTGGCCAAAATAGAAACACCACTCACTTCTGATTACAAATGTGAACATACCAAATAAATACACTAGTGAAATACAATGTTACAAATGAGAAAATAAAAGAGAAAATATGTTTTTCTTTTAATTTTAACTGTTAGTCATATTTTCCCCCAAATGTTCTTTCAGATTTAACTGGCATCAAGATTAATCCAGGATTTAGTTCTTTGGCTATTCATACAAGGAGAACATAAATTATTAATTGCAGAATTTCAATTACAAAGTCATTTGTATCTAATTTTGTTCAGCTTTTCTGGTTTTATTAAGTCAGCATGAAAATATAACTAACTATACTGTTGATCCAAAGATTCAGGGACTTAAATTAAGCAGATCTAATATAGGAATTAGGCAAAAGTAATTCATAAATATTTCCTCTTTTATAACAAGTTTTCTAAGATTTTAATATTATAATCTATTTGGGGTTTCAGTTTTCACCTTTTACATGTGAAAATCTTGGAAATTGTTACTCCCCTCCTTAAAATAAGAAAAAAAAACTGGACAAACTAATATTAGTGACTCTTGTTGGGCAAAGAACAAGTCTCCATAGATAAATCCATGGTCACAGCTGAGACTTCTTACCTGGGGCAAAAGTTCTGGATCTGGAATACAAACTTGTAAGTCCTGTAAATGGTGATCTTGATGAATTGCTGGAGCTTGATCTACTAGCATGAGAATGCACAGGTACCCCCAACACATTCCTGGGCTTTACCATCAAGAATCCTACCAGGTTCCCATGGTAAAAATATGAGAAATACTATCAGGTTGGCCTATTAAAGGGAGAAAAACTACTGTAAAATACTCGGAGAGTCTTTCCTGTGAAGTGATGACTTATTTTGTAAGGAGAAAATCATTATCAGATCCTTGTCCTAGAGCAGTGGAAGTGACAGTGTTAGTTGCTCAGTCATGTCCAACTCTTTGGGGCCCCAGGGACTGTAGCCCAAGAGGCTCCTCTGTCCATGGAATGCTCCAGGCAAGAATACTGGAGCGAGTTGCCATTCCCTTCTCCAGGGGATCTTCCCAACCCAGGGATTGAACCTGGGTCTCCTGCAATGCAGGCAGATTTCTTGTCATCTCAGCCACCAGGGAAGTAGTGGAGGTACGACGTTCTTCTCACTAGCCTTCCTGTTCATGTGAATGTCACAGGTCAGAGACAATAGTCAAGAAAAAAGAGATTTAACTGGAAAACTACAGAATGCTTCTCTCAGCCACCTTACCCCTACACTGACAGTGCTCCAGAATGATAATGAATTAATGGAGGAATGAGCTGTAAGAGATAGACTCTTAGAAGTACTTAGGAAAACCACTGCAATGATGTAAAGTAATTAGCCTCCAACTAATAAAAATAAATGAAAAAAATAAATAAGAAAAAGAAAAAAAAAAGGAAAGTCTCAAAACAAAAGAATTGATGAAACAAAAACAGTAGAAAAATGTAAAGTCTGTGGAATATGTATAGCTACTGTAAACATTAAACAACGCCCAAATTCCAGACAGATTAACATAAGGTCCTCACATTAATGGCTCATTTACTTCTATTAATACCACTCAAAACATGTGTGGCTTTCAATAAAACATTAAAAGGTGTGCCTAAAGATAGGAAAAGACAAAGTTTGTAAAGCTATACGATAATCAAGACATCTATATGACATAGATGTTGGAAGTATCAGAGGGGGAATTTAAAATGATGGTCAATATGTTGAGAGTTCTAATGGAAAAAGTAGACAATATGCAAAAACAGATGAGAAACTACATATTAAAAAGCAGAGACAGGCCCAGTCACTGAGCCGCCGCCGAGGACTCAGCAACCTCCCCCTTGGGCCCCCTCGCTTCCCGACGCTCCGTCCCCCCTGCCCGCCTTCTCCCGCCGCCGCCTTCCGCAGGCCGTTTCCACCGAGGAAAAGGAATCGTATCGTATGTCCGCTATCCAGAACCTCCACTCTTTCGACCCCTTTGCTGTTGCAAGTAAGGGTGATGATCTGCTTCCTGCTGGCACTGAGGATTATATCCATATAAGAATTCAACAGAGAAACGGCAGGAAGACCCTTACTACTGTCCAAGGGATCGCTGATGATTACGATAAAAAGAAACTAGTGAAGGCGTTTAAGAAGAAATTTGCCTGCAATGGTACTGTAATTGAGCATCCAGAATATGGAGAAGTAATTCAGCTACAGGGTGACCAGCGCAAGAACATATGCCAGTTCCTGGTAGAGATTGGACTGGCTAAGGACGACCAGCTGAAGGTTCATGGGTTTTAAATGCTTTTGGCTCACTGAAGCTTAAGTGAGGATTTCCTTGCAATGAGTAGAATTTCCCTTCTGTCCCTTGTCACAAGTTTAAAAACCTCACAGCTTGTATAATGTAACCATTTGGGGTCTGCTTTTAACTTGGACTAGTGTAACTCCAAAACAAAAGAGCCAAAAAATAAAAAAATAAAAAAAAAATAAAAAGCAGAGACATTAGTTTGCTGACAAAGGTCCGTCTAGTCAAAGCTATGATTTCTTTCAGGAGTCATGTATGGAAGTGGGAGTTGGACTATAAAGAAAGCTGAGTGCTGAAGAACTGATGACCTTGAACTGTGGTGTTGGAGAAGACTCTTGAGAGTCCCTTGGACTGCAAGAGATACAACCAGTCCATCCTAAAGGAAATCAGTCCTGAATATTCATTGGAAGGAGTGATGCTGAAGCTGATTTGCCACCCAATTTGAAGAACTGACTTATTGGAAAAGACCCTGATGCTGGCAAAGATGGAAGGCAGGAGGAGAAAGGGAAGACAGAGGACGAGATGTTTGAATGGTATCACCAACTTAATGGACATGAGTTTGAGTAAGTTCCGGGAGTTGGAGGTGGACAGGGAAGCCGGGTGTGCTGCAGTCCATGGGGTTGCAAAGAGTCGGACAGGACTGAGTGACTGAACTGAACTGAAGGTAAGCATAGACATAGAAATTCAAAAAGCAAATCAAAAAGAAATGATAGAAATAAAAAAACATTGTTAATAAAGAAAGATTCCCTTTTACAAGTTCACAAATAGACTTCACATGGCCAAGGAAAACAAAGGTTAAAGATATTGCCAAAGAAATTTCACAAAAAGAAACACAAAGAAAAAAAATACAGAACAAAATATACAATATATTTTCAAAAGATAATTTCAAAAGGTGTAACTAACATGCATGTCAGGGGAATAATAGTAAGAGAAGAATGAGAGATTCGAGTAGAATGAGTATTTAAAATAATAATGGCTTAAACATTTACAAAACAATTTATACCAATTTGTTAATCTCTTTCAAAAAATAGCAGAGAGAATATTCCTAATTCATTCTGTGAGACCAGATTTACACTAATACCAAATCATACAAAGACACTGCAAGAAAACTGCAAACCAATATCTCCCATGAATATAGATACAAAAATTTCCAACAAAATACCAGCAAATTGAATCCAACAATTTTTTAAAATATTTATGTGAGGTAATTTCAATGTGCAAGGTAGGATATGTCAAATGAATCTAGGTGTTTATAGTATATGAAAGGAATCAGTCAGTTTTTTGTTCACCTGGAAATATTTGCTTTACCTTCCATCTTAATACTTTTGGCCAGTCTAAAATTTTAGATTGATTGAAATTTCACAACATTATTTTCTGGTTTTCAACCTAATGTTAGGGATTATATTATCAGCTACTTGTTAGATATCTGAGCTCTCCTTATTACTGAATATTAAAATATCTTTTTATTTGGCTTCTGAAATTTTGAGCAATTAGATTTTAACAGTAATGATAATTTCTATAACTAACAATTTGTACTTTTGATTAGTTTTAGAAAATTCTTAGAATTTTATTTTTAGTTATTTCCTCTTGTGCATAGCCTGCACTTTTTCCTCTGGGATCTCAAATAAACTGCATATTGATTTTCCCTCTTTTGGTCAGTTGTTCACTTAACTTCTGTTTCATATTTTAAATCTTTGGTTTCCTGTACTGCATTTTGAGTAGGTATTGCAGTTGTATCTAACTTGAATGCCAACTATTTAGTAAATATTTAAATTTGGAACTATAAACACACATGAATGTGAAAAATGGAGTATTTCCTGCTATATCAGTGAACAAGGGTGTCACAGTCATCAGCGACAATCATCCAGGGAACAGGAAGGAAAGAAATACCTGTGATCTAACAGCCATCAGATTGCAGCCACTTTCCTATGGTGAACCCAAGGGAGCTTAGAATATGAAAAAAAGCATATCTAGATGTGGTTCTAGATATGAAAGGAATGATTTCAGTGAACACAGAATCTTGCATCTTCCCTTATATCTGTTCATTCAGTTGCTCAGTATGCGTCCAACTCTTTGTGAACCCATTGACTGCAGCACACCAGGCTTCCCTGTCCATGACAAACTCCCAGAGCTTGGTCAAACTCGTGTCCATTGAGTCAGTGATGTCATCCAACCATCTCATCCTCTGTCGTCCCCTTCTCCTCCTGCCTTCAATCTTTGCCAGCCTTTTCCAATGAGTCAGTTCTTTGTATCGGATGGCCAAAGTGTTGGGGTTTCAGCTTCAGCATCAGTCCTTCCAATGAATATTCAGAACTGATTTCCTTTAGGATAGACTAGCTGGATCTCCTGGCAGTCCATGGGACTTTCAAGTCTTCTCCAACACCACAGTTCAAAAGCATCAGTTCTTTGGTGCTCAGCTTTCTTTATAGTCCAACTCTCACATCCATACATGACTACTGGAAAAATGATAGCTTTGACTAGATGAGCCTTTGTCAACAAAGCAACATCTTGGCTTTTTAATATGCTGTCTAGGTTGGTCATAGCTTTCCTTCCAAGGAGCAAGTGTCTTTTAAATTTATGGCTGCAGTCACCATCTTCAGTGATTTTGGAGCCCAAGAAAATAGTCTCTCACTGTTTCCATTGTTTCCCCATCTATTTGCCATGAAGTGATGGAACTGGATACCATAAATTTCATTTTTTGAATATTGAGTTTTAAGCCAGCTTTTTCACTCTGTTTCACTTTCATCAAGAGGCTCTTTAGTTCTTCTTCACTTTCTGCCATAAGGGTGGTGTCATCTGCATATCTCAGGTTATCGATGTTTCTCCCTGCAGTCTTGTTTCCAACTTCTGCCTCATCCAGCCCAGCATTTCACGTGATGTACTCTGCATATAAATTAAACAAGCAAGGTGACAATATAGAGATGACATACTTCTTTCCCAATTTGGAGCCAGTCCATTGTTTCATGTCTGGTTCTAACGGTTGCTTCTTGATCTGCATACAGATTTCTCAGGAGGCAGGTAATGTGGTCTGGTATTCCCATCTCTTGAAGAATTTTCCAGTTTGTTGTGATCCACTCAGTCAAAGGTTTTAGTGTAGTCAATTAAACAGATGTAGAGGTTTTTCTGGAATTCTCTTGCTTTTTCTATGATCTAACAGATGTTGGAAATTTTATCTCTGGTTCTTTTCTAAAGGCCTTTTCTAAATCCTGCTTTGAGTTCTTGGTTCAGGTACTGTTGAAGCCTTGCTTGGAGAATTGTTAGCATTACTTTGCTGGCTTGTGAGATGAGTGCAATTGTGCGGCAGTTTGAACATTCTTTGGTATTTCCTTTCTTTGGGATTGAATGAAAACTGACCTTTCCAGTCCTGTGGCCCCCTGAGTTTTCCAAACTTGCTGGCATATTGAGTGCAGCACTTTCACAGCATCATCTTTTAGGATTTTAAATATCTCAGCTGGAATTCCATTACCTCCACTAGCTTTGTTCATAGTGATTCTTCCTAAGGCCCACTTGACTTCACATTCCAGGATGTCTGGCTCTGAGTGATCTCATCATGATGGTTATCCCGGGATTTAAGATATTTTTTGTATAGTTCTTCTGTGTATTCTTGCCACTTCTTAATACTTTCTGCTTCTGTTAGGTCCCTACCATTTCTGTCCTTTATTGTGCCCATCTTTGCATGAAAGGTCCCCTTGGTATCTCTAATTTTCTTGAAGAGATCTCTAGTCTTTCCCATTCTATTGTTTTCCTCTATTTCTTTGCACTGACCACTGAGGAAGGCTTTCTTATCTCTCCTTGCTCTTTTTTGGAACTCTGCATTCAGATGGGTATATCTCTCCTTTTCTCCCTTGCATTTCACTTCTCTTCTTTTCTCAGTTATTTGTAAAGCCTTCTCAGACAACCATTTTGTCTTTTTGCACATCTTCTTGGGCATAATATTGATCCGCTCCTCATGTACAACCTCTGTCCATATCAGATCTAATCCCTTGAATCTATTTGTCACTTCCACTGTATAATTGTAAGCGATTTGATTTAGGTCATACCTGAATGATCTACTGGTTTTCCCTACTTTCTTCAATTTAAGTCTTAATTTGGCAATAAGGAGTTCATGATCTGAGCCACAGTCAGCTCCCAGTCTTGTTTTTGCTGACTGTATAGAGCTTCTCCATCTTCTATTGTAAACAATATAATCAATTTGATTTCAGTGTTGACCATCTGGCAATGTCTACATGTAGAATCATCTCTTGTGTTGTTGAAAGAGGGTATTTGCCATGACCAGTGCATTCTCTCAGCAAAACTCTGTTAGCTTTTGCCCTGCTTCATTTTGTATTCCAAGGCCAAACTTGCCTGTTACTTCAGGTATCTCTTGACTTCCTAATTTTGCATTCCAGTCCTTTATGATGAGAAGGACATCTTTTTTGGTGTTAGTCCTAGACGGTCTTTCAGGTTGTCATAGAATCACGCAATTTCAGCTTCTTCAGCATCAGTCCCATAATTAGAAAAGTGCTAAATTCCTTGAGATAACTGGTGTCCTTTAATTAATAATAATATCTGGAAATTCAGTCTACCTTCACTTTGTTGTAAAACTTCTATGTTACCTACATTCTCCCCTTGCCTCCTTGGAGCAGTTCTGTCATGGTTACTAGAGATGCTGCCTCCTGGGCTTAAGTCCTAAAAAATTTCCACCAAATAAAATATAACTCTAAGCTTTTAGGTTTTGACTAATTTTTAAGTTGACATATGTGCAGGTGATTTATTTCAACATTACATATTCTTTTTATCATACTATATCTGAAGTCTGATTGCTTACATTTCTTGTCTGTTTTTTTCTAATCACTCTTACTCATAGAATTGCGATTCTTACATTAACTCATATTTTACCCAGTGTACTATGTGACTGTACTGAGGGTGTATATTCAGAATGCTTTTGCGTCTTAGCCATTTAGTCGTGTCCAATTCTGTTGTGACCCCATGGACTGTAGCCCACCAGACTCTTCTG